CAGTTGGGGTTCCCTGGGCCATGTCTTGGTGAGCGGGCCAGCTCGTTTTAGTGAGCCTTGAACTGCGCCAGCGGCCAGCGCTCGGCTTGCAGCACCCGGATCCCCGTGGACCGCTCCCGGTTGTAGTCCTGCAGCGTGGCCAGGGCGGCGCGGGCCGTGGCCTGGACGAGCAGCTTGGGGTTGTAGTGGCCGGAGGTGGAGTGCGTACTCGCTGCTGGGCCGCAATCCGGCTCGTACGTCTGGGCCCGAGGTCTCAGCTCAGCTCCTGCAGCCCCGTGTGGTGGAGGGCTCCGTCCGTGGTTTTCTTCGGCAAGTCCCCAGACGGTCCGGGCTGCGCCGCGGGCAGTCCATACTGTTTGTGGGGCTGGTGGCTGTTCCTGCAACTGTGGGTGGTGTTGCTAGGGGGACACGAAGCACGTGTCCAGATGGGCAGAGTTGCAGGGTGTGGCGCACAGCTCCCTGGAAGCTGGAGACCCAGCACGTGGGGCAGGTGCTGTACCCTCTGGAGTTTAGGGTTCAGGGACTGGCTCAGGAGGTTGTAAACGTGCACGCGCACACGTCTATCAATGAGAGTAGGCATCAAGTATTCCAGTAACGCTGTAGTCAAGCATTGACCATTGGATGTATACGTGTAAGCATCTCATTGTAGGATGACAAAGGGGGTATTTCGAATTGTTACAGAAAGGGCACTCTGAGCCTTGCACCGGGTAATAGCTTAGGTGCTTTCTCATTTCCTGCGCTTCCCCTACGTGAATTTTTCTCACAAAGAACTATTCACTCTGAGGCTTCCACTTCTAGGTAGTTTGGGGTCAATCAACAGATTACAGGGAGGAAGAGGCAAAGACTGCATGGTTCTGGCTCCCCTCTCCTCTCCAACTTCTCCTGGCCGCCCTGGTGCTGTAGCTGTCCTTCCTGCCAGACTGCCCCAGCTTCTGGGCTGTGCTAATGTCACCTTCCTCCATTGTCCCCGCCATCCGAAGAATGGCACTACCTTCTTCTTGAACGTAACACCAGAGTCCTCTTTGGCCTCTTTCCACCACCTGTTTTTAATTCCTGTAATTAAAAGCCTGTGGGTTGAATTATCTAGAGAAATGCGTTCCCAAGTGGCCAGTGGCTGATCCACTTGGTGGGCTTGATGAACCTGTTGACGCAGATCCACGTTGGTGCTTTCAACACCTCGCACAGCTGACAAGGACCTATGGGTGAGATTCTTTTACACCCCACCTCGCCACGGCAGGGACTCTTATTTTTGCTCTTTTAGTAGTGCCTGCACATAGCTGATATTCAAATAGTTTTTTAAGTTGAGGAATAAACACGTATTTCAGGGACAATCACTTAAAGCCCTTTTATCAACCCCTCCTCAAAAGATTCTAATTTGAGTCTTTGATACCCATAAAAACATCCTAATTTTTTGTCACTTTTAAACTTTTGGCTTGTAGGAATCAATTTGTTTTAATCAGGTTGCTTTTGGTTGCAAACAGAGAGACCTAACTCAAGCTATTTTAGGCAAAAAGTGGCCATTTATTGCCCTGTTAATAAACAGGTGAAACTAAGGACAGTGAGGGCTCAAGGGAGTTTAAACCAGGACTTGCTCTCATGCTTTAGCGCTAGAATAAATGGCACCTTTCTTTAGTTCAATTGAGAAAAGCTCAGTAAGGACTCCAGCCCAGACAGCGTGAGTGACTAGTGCTGGCCAGCTCCTGAGAATCCCAGCAGAGGCCGGAGGTGGTGCTTGTTCTCAGAAGAGAGGGTGAAGAGAGAATGCTCCTCAAACACTCGCTGAGAGCAATACGCCTTCCTATCATGGGTTCTACTGCCACCTTCTTAGTTTCAGCCTTGGGCTCCTATACTGTCCACTTCTTTCCTAATGACTGAGACAGTCCCTTGTGTGTCCACAATCCCCAAAGAAACATCCTTACAAGTGTCTGTACACACATGGGATGACATAGACATTCCTTTATTTGGGGAGTCCCTGCACAAACTCAAAATGAACATACACACAAAATATGTCATAAGAGTACAGTTTATTTCAACACATTAAACAAAATTTGAAATGACTTTCTTGGGGAAACAAACAAACACACCATCCCTGAATTCCGTATCTGCAGACTTAGCTTGAAGTCTACAACATATTTTAGCAAAACACCTAGTAGAGCTTTTTATGTACACAGTGAATATCAAATGACTGGGCTCAAAAATTAGACATTTGGAAAAATCAAATCATACTTGCAAAAACATAGGCAAATGTGTAAACTAAGAATGTGATGAGTCTAATCAGAAAACGTCTTTGGATTGTTACATTTCTATTGGTATGGGGAAAAGCATTCCTCTGTCTGCCATCGATACTCTATCAGAACGGAGCCAACATTGTGAAGGAGCGAGTCCTCACTAAGAATGCAGAAAAAGCAGAACCTCCTTTAAACAGGAAGCTGGCTGAAAAGGAGCAGACCAGTGTAAAAAAGTCGGGGGAAAGACAAAAGGTTTCACTTCTGTGCTTCCCACCTCTCTTTGGTCAGTTTCCAGAGTCAGTTACCAATTCACTCAACTGAGTTCCAAAACCTCCCCCACTGTGCCAATCTGGCTTTGACCCGTCAGCAGCTTTCTTCAAAATTAAAAATCAGTGATGAAAAAAAATTCTGTGGTGAATGATCCAACAAAATGGATCAAGGATCTAAGTAGAAGAGCCAAAACATTAAAAAAAAAAAAAACTCCTAGAAGAAAATACAGGTCTATTACTTCAGGACTAAATTGTAAACAATGGATTCTTAGCTATGACACCAAAAAAACAAAAGCAACAAGACAAATTTAGATAAGTTTGACTTAATCAAAATCAAGAGATTGTGTTAAAAATAACTTGAAGAAAGCTGATGATGGTGCCCGGCTATCAAAAGATAGTCTTGGGTCTTAAAGGGTTGCAGGTAAACAAGCAACCATCTAGCTCAGAAGCAACAAAGGCCACATGGAAGAAGCACACCAGCCTGTGCGATCACGAGGTGCCAAAGGGATCAGTTATCAGGCATCAAAGAACAAATAATCATTATCAGTGTGTGCCCACCTTCCCGATGTGATCACTGAAGACAAATGTGTGCATAAGCAAATGTGGTGAATAAAGCTGATGGTGCCCGGCTATCAAAAGATAAAGCATCTGGGGTCTTAAAGGCTTGAAGATAAACAGGTGGCCATCTAGCTCAGAAGCAACAAAGCCCACATGGAAGAAGCACACCAGCCTGTGTGACCAAGAGGTGTCGAAGGGATCGGGTATCGGACATCTAAGAACAAAAAATCATATCACTGTAAATGAGGGTGAGTGCAGAGTGGAGACCCAAAGCCCATCTGTATGCAACTGGACACCCACTTACTGAAGGTTCTCGGGGAGGAGACGAGCTAGTCAGGGTGCAGGGTAGCCAACAATGAAACATACAACTTTCCTCTAGTTCCTAAATGTTTCCCCCCCGCCAACTATCATGATCCCAATTCTACCTTACAAATCTGGCTAGACTAGAGGATGTACACTGGTACAGATAGGAACTGGAAACACAGGGAATCCAGGACAGATGATCCCTTCAGGGCCAGTGGTGAGAGTGGTGATATAAGGAGCGTAGAGGGAAGTGGGGTAGAAAGGGGGAACCGATTACAAGGATCTACATATAACCTCCTCCCTAGGGGGTGGACAACAGAAAACTGGGTGAAGGGAGACCTTGGACAGTGTAAGATATGACAAAATAATAATAATTTATAAATTATCAAGGGTTCATGAGGGGGGGAGGGGGAAATGAGGAGCTGCTATCAAGGGCTCAAGTAGAAAGCAAATGTTTTGAGAATGATGATGGTAATAAATGTCCAAATGTGGTTGACACAATGGATGGATTGTACAAGCCCCCAATAAAATGATTTTAAAATAATAATGACGTGAAGAGACAGCCTATCGACTGGGTGAAAACTGGAAGGAACCATCGATTGCATAAGAGTTCAATATTCAGAATCTACAAAGAGCTTCTATACTTAACCAAAAGCAAATCATGAAAAATAACAACCCTGAGATAGTGAGCAAAGGCTATGAATAGACCTTTAACCAAAATTTAACCACATTTAACAAATGGCCAACAAGCATATGAAGAAATGCCCTATGTCATTAGTCATGAACTCAACTCACTGTTATCAAGTCTACTCTGACTCACAGAAACCCTACAGGCCAGAGTAGAACAGCCCCTTTGGGTTTGTAATACTTTAAATCTTTATGGGAGCAAACAGCCTCTTCTTTCTGCCATGGAATGACTGGTGGGTACAAACAGTTGTCCTTACAATTGAGCTATGCTCAATGCATAACTCACTACACCACCAAACTCTTTCATTAGCCACTAAACAACTAATCTCACTGCTCTTCAGTCAATACTGACTCACAGCGACACCAAAGGACAAGGTAGAACTGCCTCTGTGTTTCTGAGACTGTAACCCTTTCCTGGAGTAGAAAGCCCTGCCTTTCTCCCACGGAGCAGCTGGCAGTTTCAAACTGTTGGCCTTGCAGTTAGCAACCCAACACATAACCACTATACCACCAGGGCTCCTCATTAGCCATTAGGGAAATGCAAATCAAAACCACAATGAGACACAAGTTCCCCACGAAAATAGCTAAGATCGTTTTATAAAAAGGGAAAACTACAAATGTTGGAAATGATATGGAGAAATTAGAACACATTCATTATTGTTCTAGAAACTAGTTTGGCAAGTACAATCCCACTCATCGTTTTACGCTCAAGAGACTTAAACGCAGTAATACAGACGTTTACATCAACGTCCATTGCAGTATAATCACAATTGCTATAATATGGAAATAACTTGATGTCTGGGAACTGATGAATGAATTTTTAAAATGTGACCTATACATATAAGGGACTATTATTCAGCGACAAAGAGAAACCAAAGTCCTGACACATTCGACAACATGGAGGAGCCTTGGAAGCAGGATGAGTGAAGCAAATCCATGACAAAAGGCAACGCAGTGGATGATCTCATGCTTTATGAAGGAACTAGAATGGGCAAACACTGAGAGCAAAGTTAAACGGGTTACAATCGGTGTGAGGGATGAAGGCAAAGGCTTCACTCGGTAGGAAGCATGGAGTGTCTGTTGATGGTGATGGAAACTGGGGTACAAAACGAGGACGAGTGATAGCTGCACATGTCAGTACTGTTCCTAAATCGTACATATGAAATGTTAATTGGAAAATATTGGGATATACATATATTTACAATAAAAAAATCAGTTACTGACATTTAGCCCTCAGTTTAATATGGAGCTTCAAAATGCACATGGAAAATTCCATTATCTTTTCATTCCATTTTTCCCCATGAACTCTTGAAGCCCCCCCATATAGATATAGCTGAAATGTGAAATTACATACCAGCAATATTAGCAATATATATTTATATGTTAAAATTAAAGTGGTAAATAGTTGTAAATATGAAAACTGTTACTTTTTTCCATGGACAAATGAAAAATAAAAATGCTAAAAGCAACAGAAACATTTGTATGTTCCAAATAAAACTATAATGAAAATTTTATATACCAAAACATGAACGTATTTTATAGGCATTGTTTATTACACATAATTGAACAGTAAAATCCAACCCTGTCTCAACCAAACAGTTCCTCCAGACCATGATATTCGGTCTACAATGAAACACTGTTAATAAATGCAATGTCATAGAAGTACATTTATTTTTCTAAATAGTGACTTAGCTTTAACTATTACAGCAATGATTTAATATGTGGGCTGAAACACACACACACACACACACACAAACACACACAGATGGAAACATACTTTTTTTAAACCTACAAGATAATATTAAAAAGCAATTCCACAACCGTTGATTTATTAAGAACTCAACCTAAATACTGAACAAAATAAATATTTAATATAAGACATAATGAACACCTAAAAAGCAACTTGGAGACCTGAAAGGAGTATAGAATATCAAATGCTGTCAGGGTGTTAAAAATGGAGTCTTTCTATACCTCCAGCTGAACAGTCATGTTGATTGCTACTATAAATAAACTTCATTCAATAAAGTCACTTGAAGTTAACTCCGATAAATATTTGGATTCAAAAGAAAAGGAATAAGACTTTTTTGTCTTTCATTCTGATACCATTACAGATATTAGGAGTTTTGAATGTAAGTTAAATATCTTTGAACATGTTTCCGACTATAGTTCAAACATTTCTTTATGAACCGTTGATACTTTAATTGATGTATGTGCTACTTTAATGAACACATGTCAGGCTTTAATTAAAAGATGTGCAATTTTAATTAATGAGGGACTAGGCAAAATCAAATCAAGATGATGGAAAGGACTACATAGCCGAGACGTGACAATCTCTAAGAAAGAAGTGTACTACAGGGACAATCACCCTGAGCAGTTCTTGGTCAAGCCATTAACTGCTCTGAGCTACAATCTCTTCATCTGTGAAATTTAAATCATAGCTCCTCTTTCAAACTTCTCAGGCTATTGTGACAACCAATTGAGATATAAGAACTCTTGGCAAACTGCAAAGCGCGGTATAAATGGTATTATCATCGGCCCAAAGACCTCGAGTTCATGATATATTGTCTGTTGGACAAAGTGCATGGCCTTTCTTTTCGTCTTCATCTGAGAATGCTTCTAATTTTGATCAACTAGAAGTAGTAATGGGATCAACAGAGGAAAGAGCTTCCAGCACTTTACAGTTGCCGTGACTGGGGAAGCACACTGCCTGACGGGCTGGACTACTTCCAACACTTCCTAGCCGTAGAGACAGACAGGCAGACTTCTTGGAGATCTTGGTATCTGGCCTCTCTCTGTGGCTTCCTCTAGAAAGAACTCTACCTCCCTCGCCACCTGCTAGTGCAGCACACAAAGCTTCATTCAAGAACTGAATCCTGTAATGGTGTATAAGTACTCTAAGCATATTAAGCAGCTTAGCTGAGGTTCAGTTTTCTTACGCAGCTTGAATCAAATTGGAAATCATTTGGTAATCAGGTTCTTCCTTTTTAAGGCCACAACCCTTCCACTACATGTAAATGATTCTACCCAACCAACCAGCCCTCCAGGCTTTCCAGGAACTCAGCTGCTACAGCTTTCTCTCATTAGTGCCTGGTGGGTTTGAACCACTGACCTCTTGACTAGCAGCTGAACACTTTCACGTCTGCATCACCAGCGTTCCTGTAAATGGTTGTAGGCGAGCCTTTTCCACTTATCCTAGGAAACATTAGCTGGTGAGGTTTGAGTAGGTAAACCAGATCTGGGTTTAACAAGATTGGAAGGTGCTGGGAGAAGTTAAGTCTCTGTAGGCAGGGTTGATTGCATACCCTAACGGGATGGGACGTGCAGCTCTCGCAAACGCATTTGGCTACTCTGGAATACAAACTCATGTGAATGCTTTGGGGGAATGCTGTTCTAGCCACTGCTGGTTCTAAACATTCCAGGGCCAAAAAGCTGGCATTACCCCTTTAATTTCAGAAGGAACAGAATCATTTTGCTTTCCAGGTCAACTACCGTGATAACCTCCTGGATTCCACTCCGTAAGCATCTCTTCCAAAGCAATGGAGAACTAAATTTTCTCGATTACATACTGAGGCTGTCCAAGAAGTTATTCTCATGTGAATAAAAATTATCCCAAAGATATTCCTGTATTTCACTCCCACCCCCAACACTAAAAATATGACCTAGCATCCTATGATGAGGTAGAGCATTTTATCACACTACCACTACAATTAACACAACAGTAAAATAATAATCAGTAGTGGTAGTAGCAGTAGTAATAACAGTAGTATCAGGATAAGCATATATATATAGGCATTAATCTTCTTATTTACTCTGTTGTAGGGTCTATTTAATTATTAAATCTTTAAAATATTCATTTTAAAGGTAAATACATTGAGACTTCAAGAAATTAACTGACTCACCAAGAGTTATACAAAGTAGTAAGGACAGAACCCCAAACTCTTATCTAACTGTCAGTAAAATGATCTCAACTACTACACAATTAAAGGCCTCTTATATTTTAGTTATAAAACAAATGCTGCCTGCTAAAAAAAATATTGGTTTGTCTTGATAAAAATCTAACTTGACTAAAATTTGGTTTGGGATTTCCTTTCTAACCAAGTTTCCTTTTTTCCTTTAAAGAGGTGTGTTTAGGTGGGGAGGAGAGAGAAAAATAGACTACTGTTTACAAACGGCCATTTAGAAATGGACAGGGTTCTAAAAATCTGCATCCAAGGTGAAGACATTATCTGTAGTTTCTGCCATAACTGCAAAACGCTGGTACTCGGAAACTCGTTTTTCAAAAAAATTTGTTTTCCCTTCCAAAGAAATGTTTTCCATAAAATCAAAGGGATTTTCTGCATGAAAAACCTAAGAAGAAAAGAAAAAAGATTTTATGTTCTGAAGCAAACAAATATATGCCCCACACAAAAAGCAGCGGACGACCGACTAACCGGCCACCTCGGATCCCATTACAGCCACAGTCCTGAGGCACTGTCCACAATGCTGATCGGGATGGCACTCAGACTGGCCGATTTTCAGACCATTTCCTACCAGCTTGCCCAAACACTATACCAGAATGCAGGGCATGTTAAAGAGCGTGGAGAGAAAAGAGATCACAGCACTGTCTGTGTGTCACTGGGAAGGCGCAATCATTAGAAGAGGACATCATGCTTGGTGAGGTGGGTGGCCCACAAAGGCAGGCCACCCTCAGGGCAGTGGATGGCAACAGTCAGTGATGGGCTTGAACACGCCAGCAATCGTGAGGACAGTGCAAGGCTGTTGCACATAAAGTCGGCCGAAGTTGGAATCAACCTGATGGCAGCTGTGTGCACATATACACACCCACTCTACTCTTGTCAACAGGGTTACGTTCCAAAGATGATGTCATTATATGAAAATGGAGGATGACCACATCAGATCACAAAATGAAGAAATAACTCTATTGTTACATGACTGCCAAACCACTGGTCGGGCTAAGCTGACTCATAACTTTAATCCCATAGCCAGTGTTATTCTTATCTTGTACCTTGGCATCTGGCACTGCCAGACATATGTCATTAGTGAGCAAAGTAACCAGAGAGAGTTTTCACTATTGTAGTAAAGGTGAAGGTAAGGTAATTGTATAGTTGCTAAGAGAAGAATAGCTATGTGTGCATGTGTATGAACACATACAAGTATACTACTACAAAATCCTAAATTACCAACAATGTATTCTGGTCTTAAATATGTTTAATTCATTAAAAAAATAAGAATAAATTGACAGTAAAGGGCCATGATCAGAGGAGACAGAATAAATACTATCTATAGTAATAAGATATTTCTAATACACAGAAGCTTTATTACTGCTTCTGAATTGGAGACACAGACGTGGGAGATATGGCTGAACAGATCCTGTGAGACGTTTCATGATTCATGAGTGGAATGAAGGAGAATTTCTGAATTTCAGAGTATCCCAGCAGCAAATATGAACATGACAGATAGGAACATATTCACGCACATGGCCAAACACACAAAGGCACCGCTACAGAGCAGTGGTGACCGCATCACGTGAGCAGGGCACAGCTCTGATGCTGACAACTTTGGATTGGCAGTATATATTTCAGGGAAGCCAGGAGAGGACTTCAAAAGTTTGTGGAAAATTCCTATTATCTCTTAGTTTCATTTTTCTAATAACTTTTTGAAGCTCCCTTGTATTCTGTTATGTTGAGTTAAAAATGAACTCACTTCTTTATATGTTAACTAGTGATGCCCTTCATATTTACAGAAGCTTAATACTTTTATATGCATAGTAAGGAGCTCAAAAAGTTTGCAAAAAAATTAATGGAAAATAATGAATTTTCCCACAAACCTTTCCAAGTTCTTTTATATATAAATACTCAAATGACCCAATTAAAAGTGGCCAACAGAGCTACTAAAGACATTTCTCCAAGAATATCTATGCATTCCATATGGCCATTAAGTAGATGAAAAGATGTTCAACATCTATAGTTATTTAAGAACTACAAATCAAGCCCATAATGACATGTCGCTTCATACCCATAGGATAGCTATTACAAAAATTACAGGTAAGAGATGTTATAAAAATGGAGACAAATTAGAATCCTCATACACTGCTGGTAGGAATGTAAAATAGTGCGACTAGTTTAGAAAACGGCCGCAAAGTTACCAAGTGGGCCAACAATTTCACTCCTAGGGGCAGTGGATTATTGATAAGGCTCTTCTAGCCATAGTCTTTGCAATTCCCACCAAACAACTTTTCCCGTGGGTCTAGGTAAAAGAAGGTGGGAGAAGAGGTTGATAGTATTATCTGACTCAGTTGTGAGTGAGCATTAACGGAGCTGATGGTGATCATAAAAATCTGTACCGCTAATGATGGGGACTGGTCAATTTTACCATCTTGTTGGGTATACAATGAGTTATCTGAGAAGCAGGAGAGGAGATCTGCCTGTAGTGAATTATTTATGGCTCTTTGAGTCCTAGCTTTTGTCACTCTCATCAATTGATTTTTCCCTCATGGGTCTGAGTAAAAGGTAGGGGAAGATACCAGTTGGATGAGGATTCAGCTGTGAGTGACTCTTACCAGAATTAATGGTGATTGCCACCCTGTTGGGTATAAAAAGGGCCATCTCAAAAGCAAGAAGTGGAGATCTCACTACCAGTAAGAGAGAAGAGCCAAGAACGAAGTGTATCTTTTGGATCCCGAGTTTCCTGTGCATTGAAACTCCTTGATCCAGAAGACAGCGGTCACATCACCGGCATGGCAGCGGAGCAGCGGCAGAGCCAGGAGTCTGAGCATGCGACAGAGCGATGGCTGAGTGCTTTGGGGCATGCCACTTGCTTGTGTGGGGAGGAGGTGTCTCTGTGCACTTAATTGAGAAAGTCGGATTTTGCGGAGCCATGGAGCTGGAGCTGAGTGCCTCTGAGTGGAGGCTCACATTGGAGTGGCATGCCCTTGGGGATTTATTGGCAGTCCTCAAAGAGCTTTGTAACATTGCCTGAGTAGGACCGAGACCAGTTCAGAAGGCTGTGCCAAAGAGATGCAACCTGCAGCCAAAGCAGAAAAAACACTGTCCTGATGGAACAACTGTATCCTGACCACTTCTCACCTGACTTGTAACCTGTTAACATGCCTAATATATCCCATAATCTTGAGTGTTGTCCATGAGTTGTGTGGCTACTGCAATGGATTAAAGAACCCAACAGAAAAGTAGTGAGTGCTGTGAGAGGCAGAGCAGGATCTCACGACCATCAAGGAAGGAGAGGCAGGAGGGGAGCGTGTGCTCTGAACCCTACGATCCAGGAGCCTGAAAGCTGTAACACCAGGAGTGGCAGAGGAACAGCAGCAGCAGAGCAAGAGCATGAAACACACTGGTGGGCGTCCAGAGAGAGCAAAGCTCAGCATCTTTGGGCAGGAGGCTTGTTTGTGAAGTGGGGGGTTCCTCCTCTAGGCCAGCGGTTCTCAACCTGTGGGTCGTGACCCCTTGGGGGGGGTGTCGAATGACCCATGACTCTTCCACAAGGGTTGCCTAACACCATTGGAAAACACATATTTCCGATGGTCTTAGGAACCGAGACACTGCTCCTCTATCTGTCTCCAGGTAAGTCCATCCACATGCAGATATGCTGATCTGGTGAGAAAGAAGCTATCTCAACCTTCGCACTGACATTGGCTTTTTATGCATATTGTCCTACAATGTAGCAATGTAATTTGCTGTTTTTAAATTAAGACTGTTAGCCATGCTACACCATGCTTCAAGACAAAATTTCATTTATTTGTAATTAAATATTTCACAATATATAATTACATATTGTTTTGTGATTAATCACTATGCCTTAATTATGTTCAATTTGTAACAATGAAAATACGTCCTGCATATCAGATATTGACATTATGATCAAACTTAACAGTTATGAAGCAGCAACAAAATAGTTTTATGGTTGGGGGTCATCACAACGTGAGGAACTGTATGAAAGGGTGGCAGCCTTAGGAAGGCTGAGAACCACTGCTCTAGGCACTCAATGGGGAGCTCAGGGAAGCCAATGCCTTCAGGTGAAAGCTTGTGGTGAGTGGAATGCCCTTTGGGCACTTAATATAAGGTGACCAGATGTCCCGCTTTTGGCGGGACAGTCCTGATTTTTAACAATTTTTCCTGTGTCCCATGGCATTTTAAAAAAGTCCTGATTTTTAGAAAGAATGAATGACAAGCTAGGGTATACGGTTTTTGGCTGCCATGTGGCTATTTCACCAGGATATGAGTTTTATCAATGGTGTCCTGCTTTACCAATGTTAAAATCTGGTCACCTTAACTTAATTCTAATGCCTAAGGAGGATAACTTTCCCTCACCAGAGTAAAGGTCAGACCAAGGGGCTGAGTCAGAGAGGCCTGCCTATGAGCAAGACAGAAGAGAAGCTGTCCTGATCAAAGAATGGAGCAGTCCTGACTGGGATTTTAATCTGAAAACTTCACTAATAAGCTCTACCATCAAGAGTACGGTCTGTGAATTCTATGTAGTCATTACAAGGAATTATAAGATTCAGATGAGAAATACGGAGTGCTGTGGGAAGAACAAGACACCCTCGTGTGGCAAAGCTGGTTAAAAATGGAACTGCTAGTCACAAGGTCAACAGTTCAAACCCACAAGCCTCTCCAAGGGAGAAAGATAATACTGCCTGTTCCCCAAAAGATTTAAAGTCCTGAAAAACCAAAGGGGTAGTTCTACTCTGTCCTATAGGGTTGCTGTGAGTCAAAATCGACTCGATGGCACTGAGTTTGGGATTTTGGGGGGGTTTAGTGTGAGGAATGGCTATCAGAATTGGAATGGAAGGTTGGTAGTGAAGGTGTGTCTGGCTTCAGCCTCCTAAGAATTGATTTTAGGCTGAGCGGGAGTTTGATTCTCCTTCTCCCTAGTGAAATCAGATGGCTTTGCTTCACACAATTTCTTACATAGAGAAAGAAAACCCCCGTGCGCCCATACGTGAAAGTTCATAGCAGTATTACTCATAATAACCCAAAAGGGCAACAACCTCGATGCCCATGAACTGATAAACAGATTAAGGAAGTGGGGTATAGCCACGCAAGAGATTATAATCTAGTCATAAAAAAGGAGTGAAATATTGGTACATGCTACCATACACATGAGCCTTGAAAATGTTTGGGTAAGGGAGATAAGCCAGTCACTGAAGACCTGAGACATGGTTCTGTTTCTGCGAAATGTCCAGCATAGGCAAACGTAGAGGAGGCTGAATCGTGGAGGCAGCACAAGACAAGGCAAGTTCATCTGTCCAGCTCAGGGTCATCCTGAGCCAGCACTGGTCTGATGGGTACTCACACAAAGAGAATGTGCTGGAAGTGGGAATGGCAAGACTGTTCCTTCATGACTTTGGACACCTCATCACGGACGATGAATGGCTACCAAAGGACAGCATGTGGGGTGAAGCAAGGGTCAGCGATCACAGGGAAACTCTCAGCAAGATGGGCAGACACAAGGGCTACCAATGGACTTCGACTCACAAAGCATGCTGACGAGGGCACAGGGCAGCACTATCGTGCTACACAGAGATCACCAGGAGCCGCTTCCACAGCGACGAAGACATCAGCAACATGACTGGGGAGGGGACGCAGGTGTGACTGCTCGTGGGCACAAGTTCTTGTGTTGGCGTGTTGAAAACATTGTAAAATATTTTGTGGTGACGGTTGTGAATATTTTAAGCGCCACTGGATTGTACACTTTCAATGAGTGAATTGCATACTATGGGAATTATATCTCAAGGCTTTAAAATATATTACCTGAAGATAATCCTCTTAAATAACCCAAATTCTACGGCCATCATGTCGAGTCTAATTCACAGTACCCCTTTAGAGCAGAGAACTACCTCATAGGGTCTGCAAGGGTGTGGTCTTTCTGGAAGTCGACTGCTGCATCTTCTCCCAAGGTGCAACCTTCAAGCTCAGGGTGACCAGCTAAACACTCAACCACTGCCCCAGCAGGGCTCCCAATTGTATTACAAAGACAACCGCAATTGTTACAAAGTCATTTTTTTAGCCTACTGGTGCTTTCATTTACAGCTTCTGACTTCTGTTAAAATTTCATTGTACATTTCAAAGAGTCTTGCAAAATGAATTTATTCATGTAAAACAAACTCTGCCATGGACACGTTGAAATTAAAATACTATGTTACAAATGCTTTTGGTGAAATATACTACTTCAGAGGTTCGAAGTGATCATAACATTTTTTATAGTAGCAAACCTTGTTAACCATGTTACCTTTGAGAATCCAAGCTCCACAAGTAATCGGTCTGCTACAAACTCAATGTATTGTTTCATCAAAGCACAATTCATTCCAATGAGGCCAACTGGTAAGGCTTGTGTTAAAAACTCCTAAAATGTGCATAAACACAGAATAAAATACAAAGTCAAAACAATAATTAAGCTATTTCCCCCAGAAGAATTTATTTCAGAGGATGGCACTGAATCTGCAGCTCTGGAAGAGGGACATGTCTGATCAAAGCACATGGAAGCAGATGAAGGGAGAGAAGGAGAGAGTGGAGCACATCCTGGCCCACCAGGCCTTAAGGACGATGTTCCTGCTCAGAGCAACCAGTCCACAGAGAGGACCACATGGCCGGCCCCAATATGAGACACAACGCCCCTCATTGACCCATAGCCCTACAGGGGACAACATTGGAGACACAGTGTGGGAACTGCACCTGATCTGATCCCACCACACTAAGGCAAAACACTAAGGGAGTGCAACAGAACAGCAAGGAAATGGAGTGGTGAGGTCCCCAGGGAATGCCAAAGGTGGACTTTCGGGCCAGGGCTTGGTGCCCTGACAGACTGGACTGGACAACACTCCTAAAGGCCAACAAACAGTCCTTGAACTAACTACAAGCTTTTCTTTTTTGTTGTGTTGTGTTTTGTTTTTTGTCATTGGTTTGTTGTTGTTGTTTTGTTTTATATTGTTGCTCAGTTTTGCTTTTGTGCATGTTATTATCTCCGCAGGTCTGTCTAAATAAAATAGGCTGGATGAACAATCTGGAGGAGCAAACACCGGGACCAACAGTTCCGGGGGGACATGGGAGAGGGGGTGGGGGGAAGGTAGTGGTGTTAACAAACCCAGGGACAAGGGAACAACAAGTGATCCAAGTCTGTAGTGAGGAGGGTATAGGAGGCCTTGCAGGGTGTGATCATGGGTAATGTAACCAAGAGGAATTACGGAAACCCAAAGACTAAGCATGATAGTGGGACAAGAGAAAAGTCACAGGAAATAGAGGAAAGAGCTAGAAGGCAAAGGGCACTTATAGGGGTCTAAATAAAGGCATGTACATATATAAGTATATTTATATGAGGATGGGGAAATAGATCTATGTACATATACTTATAGGTTTAGTATTAAGGTAGCAGATGGACATTGGGCCTC